GTACGATATTGAAATATTGAGAATTATATATTAGGTGATTAACTCGAAAGAGTCTTATATTTAGAAGTAAACATGAAGTCATACCCATACAAACAAAGTACCTACCTGTTAATTTATTTTTTAAAGAAGGAGAAAAACACTGGACATTGATGAAGTTTGGTATGATGATAAGCTTGTTATCCGAGTCTACGTATATATAGATAGGTAATTTTTACTGCGGAAAAATATCTCATATCTGAGAAATCTATACTAACCGTTCAAACGTTCCTAGAGACGAACCCAAGCGAAGCTAGGGTGTCGCTAGTTAAAATATAATTTCACATTTATAGTTATATATATAAATCCAAAGTGTGAATGCTAGTTTGCCCTTCTTCTATTTTCTATTTTATTTCTTTATTTATATTAATATTATAAAGAGGCAGAGTTTGTTTATCTGAACGCGCTAATCTCAGGAACTAACTAATCAGATTTGCAAAAATCTTTTTGCTTTAGATAGCCCGTTTATTGAGAAAGGTTTTATATCATATAATATATTATAGTCTGTCTATTTATTCCATATTAACCTTTAAAACTTACCTAGTACTCGCTAGTTTTTGAATTTCTATAAAACGGATTTTCAATAGGTATGTATCCTAGTGCATTGAGTCGTTATGTAAAATCTGTTACAAAAAATACTTAGAGAATATTTAAACTATAAATACTCAGTTACTCTAATGTTGTAGTGTAGTGGCATTGTATGTGTTTGACTCTAGTTTTAGAATGACCAGGTGGAATTTTACAAATTGTAAGATATGCATTCTGAAGCTACTGGCTAGTGACTGAACCTCCACGCAAATGTATTTTGTATCCAGTGGGCTTTGACAAGATGTCATTCTACTGTCGTGGACGAACAGAAATCTAAAAAAAATATGGGATTGACATACCTACCTACGAGTAGGTATCTATTATGATTCTATGACATAACGATTCGATTTGTCATTCCAAGCTGCCTCGGTGGTTTAGTGGCTAGCATGTACGGCTGCACACCCGGAGGTCCTGGGTTCAAGTCCCGGATTTGGCTAAGTTTAGTTATTGAGTCTTTCTGTATAGTAAACCTCAGTAACAACCCGGAGTTGGGAAGTTGGCGGTGTTTCACCCCCGTGCATCGGAGAGCACGTAAAGCTGTCGGTCCTGCGCCTTAGCTCCCACTGGTCGTGTCGAGCAGTAGTCCCACCGGAGTATAAGAGTGACAGGAATAGAGAGTGCACTTGTGTCTGCGCGTACACTTGTACACTATAATAATATCCTGCGCAGTTGGCTAGTCTCAATGAGATTGGCCGCCGTGGCCGGAGTCGGTCAGGAGAACATCATCGAACATCATTATGATTCTATGACATAACGATTCGATTTGTCATTCCAAGCGGAATTTAAAAAATTCTAACACTAGTTTTGCAGTATTTAAAACTTAAACTGTCTGTCTGTACATTAAAGAGATGCCTATAGAAAAAGCGCTAGTAAAAAATTAACAAGTAGATGTATGTACTTATAATTTATACTTGATCCATGACTTTAAATGTGTACATACTAAAATCATAATATAATGCCTGCCATATATATTCATCATACATACACTACAACAAATTGCATAGTTAATACAAGATGATACAAGATATGAGTTTGAGACAAACACAAATTAATGGAAGTTTTTGAATGAACGTACCATAAGTTTATTTAATTACATAGGTAAAATATCACTCGAAAATCAAGTATAAAAACTTAAATTCATTTTTTTTGACTATCTCAAAAAATATTACTTCTACACTATTATTTGTGATCCTAGAAACTAAGCAATGAATAAATGAAAAATGAAATTCTATATTACCTATATCTTATCTTAATCCATTTTCATTTACGTAGGTAGGTGACAGATACCTATTAGGTACCTATCTATGTAAATGAAAATGAAAGTAAATTCTGATTCATTATATACTGAGATAGTAGCTTAGTAGAGAGAGTAGCTTCCTCTTGAAAATTCGTCAATAGATGAATTGTTCAAGTGTTTATGAGTTAAATTAATAATAGGTATTAACTAACACTGGTTACATACTGCTAACACTTATTGGTTTATTAACAAAGAAGCAGAACTACAAATCACCGTATTATTTGCATGGAAATAGTTTAATACTAGCGAATCACCCTCGCTTCGCTCGGTTTGTCCCTAGGTTGATTCCCCATACGAAATTTTCATCCCCATTTTCACCCCAAGGGAAGATTTCAGGAATAAAAAAATCCAATGTCCTTCCCTAATTAAAAATCCTATATCCTGTCTCAAACAATCTTCTTACCAAATTTCATCGAAATCGGTTCAGTAAATCCAGAGATTACCCCCTACAACCTCACAATCGCAGAAACTTATAAACTTTACCTTTTTACTAGCGACTCACCCTTGCTTCGCTCGGGTTTGTCCCTAGCTTGCTTACCAGTACAAACTCTGATCCCCATTTTCACCCCCTTAAGGAATGATTTCCGATATAGAAAGTATGTCCTTCCCAGGGTCTCAAACTATCTTCTTACCATATTTCATCTAAATTGGTTCATTAGATCCAGAGACTAGGCCCTACAACGTCACAAACTAACAAACTCACAAACTTTACATAATATTAGTATAGATCTGCCAACCCGCTCTTGGCCCGCGTGGTGGACTATGGCCTGATCTGATCAGACTATAAAATGAAATAAGAAACATTTTAAACTAATAGACTGAGCTTTTAAGATATTAAAAAAATGTAAAAAAATCGGTGACATGGTGCAGTCCTGCACACAGTGAGGGTTGGTCACTAGCGACAGATAAAATTGACAGTAGGTAATAATAGATACCCCGTTGATGCATTACGTGACCACGTACTATATCAATGACAATAAAGTCCGTTTAGTGTGCATAGACTGACTCTATGAATTAAATTACGGAGTACAAACATTTTAATGTATACTTAATCATATTTTACATTTGATTTAAATTTATCTGTGCAACCATAACGAGATTCTATCATAATGAGAAAGTAAGATAATTTTATTATTGAAATGTTTCATCAAAATCGGCCAAGCTTAATCAGAGCTTGCTTTATGGTAAGCTCAAGATTAAATGTACATACGTAGTACATATTTATGAACTAAGTTAATGGAAATTCATAGATTTGAACATGAATTCATAGTTGATACTTTAAAGAAAACAGTTAAATCTAGTGAAATGTATTATACTACATACTCTTATAATCTACTGCAAACATAGATAACTAATAAATAAAATAACTAACAATATCATAGTTTTATCTTTGCAATTCATCTCTACACAAGCAGTGTAATATTAAAAAATAAACTCCGTATCGCGCAAAAAATGTACAAAACTCATTAAAAGAAAGTCGAAAAAATATTAAAGCGCGTTAAAACGAACAATTCGATTTTTGAAACAAAGAACATCAAAAGAACCGCGACACCAAAACGTTAAAAGCACTCCATTGGCTGAAAACGGCTCACGCTCACGTGCTATTGGTCAAAGATAATGTTTGTGGACTATCAGTTTGCGGGGAGATAAACCAAAACTTAACCGCAAATGTTGACAGAAGCGAACCCCGGACCGTATGAGCGAAAACCAACCCTTTCCCAACAAAATACGTCATACATCCCCTTATTCATATTAGATACACTTGGCTAAAGTAAAGAAGCGAGATGGAAGTTCAATTGAATTTTTAATGGGTGTGAGAGAGGCAAAGGGTTGCGTTACTTTATAAGTAAAATGTTATGTTAATGTTTGCATATATTAAGCCTACATTTTCTTTCCGATGAATATTCATATTATTAAAATAATTACCTACAAATAGTTTTTATCACAATATATTATAAAAATAGTGCCTTCCGCTTTTATTCACACAGAATATGATATCTTTATACTAAAATAGAAAGTGAAATGAAATTAAAACTAATATATTTCGAAAACTATATAATTTTGTACGAATACCTTCAAATACACATTCTATTGTTGATCAAATTTTTTAATAAAAAACAAATCCCAAACTTAATTTACAAAGACATAAAACCTTATATCGCTATCGCGGCATTTTAAAATCGTCGAATGAAACACGTCATTACCAAAACCAACTCCTTATTTTGCGAAATAATTTTATTACAATAGATAATTTAAAACTGTCCAACTTGCCCCACCACTGAAGGATAAAAGCGATGGGCGGGGCTTAAATTAGGACCGATAAAAAGATATATGTCTCTTTCCTGCAAATGAGCAGTCGTAAGTACAGTAAGCGGGTTACAATGGGAGTTGACGTATATTACCTTCTCTTTCTCGTCTGGCTCTATCGACATAGAGCTATCTCGGCAGCCCTTCGTAGCTATAAATGTATATCAGTACAGTCAGTTCCACGTGAGATTGTATTTTGTAATCAGTGAAGTGGCGCCTTTATTCTGAAGCGCACAATGTTCGCGCGTTTGACAATTTGACATTTCGTTTGGCGGGAACGGTTTCATGTTTTCAGATACGCAAAGGTTTTAGCTCGTACAGCCAAGTGAACTATTTTTATAAAGTTTTAGTGATGTTAACAAGTTGAAGAAAGTTGTGGTTATTGCAACGCAATAACTTGGATTCTGGTTTATTTTAAGGCAATATAAGGTAAGCATTATTGCTTAATAGATACCTACATAAAATTAAATAATTAAAATTTAAATGATTTATTTCTAAATTATAATAATTAATTACATATTTTGATTTACTTCATTAATTTCCCATAAACACGAGTGGTCGCTGTAAAAAAACATTTCACATATAAATATTAGATCATTATTTTAATAGAATATTTATTATATCAGTACGAGTTTAACGGACTTTTTTTTGAAATAATCGAGAAACTGATAAATGTCTATATAATTTTACTCATTTATGTAGAGAATGAACTTTAATGGAAATGACAACTTTAACCTAGTAACTAAATAAGAAAAACTATTTAAAGATATCACGAAACATCGCTACTTACACCAAGTGTTGTTCTTCTCTGTTTAGGCGACACGATGATATTACTTTCCCGTATAAATGTCTCTGTTGTCTTTCTACTTGGCCCTTCTTTTTTGGTGCTGACTTGCGTAATGTTTTCAGTAAAAGATTGAGATGTTATATCATCATTTCCTCTAAAAAAAATATATTGAGTAGATTCCTCAGACACTAGCATCGTACCTTTTGGCTTATTTGAAATTTCTGATTTTATCGTAACATTTTTGGTAGGTTTTTTAGTAGGTTCTGACACATTAATGTTTATTTCAGTTTTATTACTGGAAGCTATTGTATCGAAGGCATTCATTGTTGTATTTTGAATATTGGGTGTAAAATTAATATACTTTGTCACAGCAATGTCAATCAATTTAAGTTTTCTTGTTGACAAAGTATTGTTATTAATTTTTATTCGGTTCATGGCAGGCATTTCAGTAATGTTGCTTACTACTATTATTGCAGATTCTATTTCATTTTTGGTCACTTGAGCCTTCTTGTTAGTGAGTACTGTATTGTAGATATTTGTTGTCTGTCTTGTGTGTTGTATCGTAGGTACTTGTTCATCTTGAACATTATGTGTAAAATTAATATGCTTTGTATGGGCAATATCAGTTAATTTAAGTTTTTTAGTGGACAATGTAATATTATTATTTTTTATCACATTCGTTGCCGGTTTTTTTGCATCATGATGTTTAAAATCATTCAACTTTGTTTTTCCATTTGTTACATTGTTTTTTATTAATTTAGTTCGTTGTTTCAACACTCTGTCAGTTAAAATATTTTTGAATTCTTCCAAAGTTAAATACGCTCTAGGAATCTTAGATTCTACTGGATTGTTGATATAAATTAAAGAACTCGAATCTGTTCTAAGACTTTCTTTGATCATAAGGTTGTGTGTCTTAAAGCCATTAACTTCCTTTAATTTTTTAACGTGCACTTCGTATTGCTTATTATTTTTGAATAGACGTCGTAATGATATGTTGCCTCTATCTGAAAATTTAAATATAATTTTGAAATCCATTACAACTCTTAATGATTTTATATATTTATATGATATTAATAGCTTCACGTCAACATCACTAGGATTATTTTAAAGTAAAACGTAGTTATGAGTTCTTTTTTTTTATAGAAATTGTAGCTTTAATTAAATTTACCTATATAGTTAGGTACATGATCTTTTCATTCCAACTTACTACCATACATATTTTGCATTTTTAATTACGTTAGAAAATTGAAGTAAATAATATTATAGAATAACCAAATCATGGCATACCATAAGCAGCTTCCTTATATTTTAGATATAGCTCTTCAACAATATCCTCAGGTATATTTATAGTTCCAGGTTTCACGTTTTCAAAGAACATAGAAGTAACAAAAACTAAAATGGAGAGATCAAAAATAGTTATAAAAGTGAGCATGTTTAGATTTTCTCGACATGGTCTTAATATGCAATCAGAAGTGTAATACGAGTTCGCACTTGAATGCATCCGTGGATTTAATTATTCGGTTCGGTAAAAACAATAACCTTACATTTGTTATAACTGTGGTCTTTAAAAGTTTATTAATTTTAGTAGATTCTTATTAGGTACATACCTAATTCTCTTAAACATGCCTATACTACGTTAATTTTACTTTATTCAGTATATATTTTATCCATCGCTTATTTATTCAAATTTTTGGTTATAAATAAAATATTACCTACTTAACTTTTTTTTCTAATATTACAAAAAATAATCACTAAAGTGTAGGCGGAAGTTTAATTAACTATTATTTACTTTAACTAAATAAATTAATAATTAAGTAAACTTAAGTTATTTACTACAAAATTGATAAATTAATAAAAAGATTTACAAAAGTCAAAGAGGCTACCTACTGAAAACTTATTAGATGTGATTAAAAACAAAGCAGTTTTGCAAATTAAACTCATTCAGAATACAGTTTTATATAATATTTTTTACATGTTTTTTTTTATTTTTTCTTGATGTTAATAAATTTATTAAGGCATTTATTAATAAATGGATGAATTTATAAGTAATTAATTTTTAAAGTACCTACGCTAGCTGTAGGGAAATCTAGGTAGTAAATCTAAGTCGTTTTCAAAACCTAATGAGCAACCGTTTAAATATATTTTTTAAATTTATCCTATTAAAATATATGTATGTGGATACGAATAAATAGAAGGATTCGTTGGCCTGGTAACTTTTTTATGCACTTTGTAAATTACGAAACTAAGAAAATATTTGATTAGGTAGGTATCTATAGTAAATGAAAAACTTTTTAACAAAAAAATAAAAACCGACTTCAAACAAAAGCACTAAAAAGTAAAAAATAACTTATTGGTAGTTTTCATTTACTATATATACCTAATCAAATATTTTCGAAATCGGTGCCAGCCCATACAAAGCAAAGCATATGACAATTAGAAGTAGGTTAAATTCATGATTAGCTATTTTTCCACCCTTAGGGGTGGTATTTTTTTTTGAAATTTAAATGGGACCAATCTGGAAGTACACCCTTTCAAACAAAACAAAAATTGTCCAAATCGGTTAATAAATGACGAAGTTCTGAGGTAACAAACATAAAAAAAAAATACAGTCGAATTGAGAACCTCCTCCTTTTTGAAGTCGGTTGAAAACTACCAGTCAGTTATTTTTTACTTTTAATTGTGTTTTTGAAGTCGGTTTTTATTTTATTTTTTTAAGTTTTTATTTTTCCATTTTTAGTGTAGACATAGTAGTAGCAAAGTAAGAAGAAAGAATTTGAATAAAATATTCGCTTAAAACGTTTAAGTTAGTTTGATTTCAATTTTTATATGACGACTGACAAACTAAAATTCGCTTTTATATATATTCTTTATAGCATATTAACAGAGTAACACAGATAATACAGAGAACAATGTGGGCAAAGGTGGACTTATCTCTAGAAGAGATCTCTTCCAGCCAACCTAAGGAAGTGAGAAATAGTGTTATATGACGGGACTAAAAGTGTGCAATTGATTTTAGATAAAATTATAAATAATTATACAATTAAATAAGATAAAAAAACACATATAATGATAAATATAAAAAAAACTTACATATTATACATACTATATACACATATACATACATATATACATACATATTAAAGTATAAATATAATCGTATGCATTTGGAATACACAAAAATAGTAAATCAGATGATAAAATTAAGGACCAATTTGTGACAGAAGGTACTGTTTTAAATTTTTTTTAAAAGAAGTTATGGAGGGGCTTTTTTTGATGTATTTAGGGAGTTTGTTCCAGAGTAATGAGGCATATACTGAGAAAGAGTGCGAAAAAAAACGTGTCTTACTCTTTGGTATGTCGAGCATTGACATGACGCAAGACCGTCTGGAACGTGAGGGGATAGGGAGAAGTTGGATACGAGAACGAAGGTAGGGAGGAGAATTTGGGTCGTTAAGAATATTGAAGAGGAAGGAAAGGATGTGCATATCACGGCGAAGTCGGATTGGGAGCCATTTAAGTTGAGCACGAAAGTTTGATACATGGTCATGCTTGCGCAAGCCAAAAATAAAGCGAATAGCTAGATTCTGGAGACGCTCTAGTTTGTTAAGTTGCTCCTCAGTCACATCCAAATAGCACACATCAGCGTAGTCAAGTATGGGGAGGAGAAGGGTTTGAGCAAGCATAATCTTGGTACTAAATGGGAGAAAGAATTGGAGACGCTTGAGAGAGTGGAAAGAGTGATGCATTCGTTTGCTGACCTCGTTGACATGAGCTACCCAGGTCATGTTACAATCCATTATTAGGCCCAAGTTTTTCACTCTATCACAATAAGGGATTGGAACACCAGAAAACTGGACTTGAGGTATTGAAGTCCAGTCGATTTTGCACCTCAGTCTACTACTGCCAAATATGATGCACTGTGATTTGCTGGGATTCACAAGAAGGCCGAAAGACTCAGCCCATAATTGGACTTCAGCAAGGTCCGAGTTTAATGCACCAATAGCGTCATGCAACTCGGTCAGCTCAAAGTGTCGGTATATCTGTAAATCATCTGCATACAGATGGAAGGGAGAAGAAATGACTTTTGAAATGTTATTAATGAAGATGGAAAAGAGCAAAGGGGAAAGTACGCCGCCTTGAGGGACACCAGCAGTAAGATCTAACCAATCCGATAATGTATCGTTGATTTTCACGCACTGCTGACGTCCGAAGAGATAAGAATGAAACCAGTCTAGAACAGTAGGAGACATGTTGACCGCACGAAGAGTTTCAATTAGGATGTCAAGGTCAACAGAGTTGAAAGCACTGCTAAAATCAAGCAAGACCATCGCAGTGAGCATGGTGTTATCCATAGCACCACGAATATCCTCCGTGATATTCAGCAGGGCTCCCACCGTGCTGTGTGAAGAGCGGAAGCCGGACTGGTAGGGGCATAGGAGATTATGGTGAGACAGATAAGAGTAAAGTTGTTTATGAGCCAATGATTCTATGAGTTTCGATAGGATAGGAAGGATAGATATAGGGCGGTATTGGGAGAGACAGGTAGGATTCGAAGTTTTAGGCAGTGGAATGACGATGGCTTTCTTCCACACTGATGGGAAGACATTGCGTGTGAGTGAGAAATTAATGATGTGGGAGATCACAGGTGCAATATCCTCTAGTACGGGAAGAACCATATCAAGACTGATGTTGTCACTACCAATGGCTTTTGTTGAAATAGAGCGGACACACTTCTTTATATCATCTACTGAGACTGGTTTGAAGACGAATGGTGGTAGGTCAGGGGGGGCAAGATTGGATAAGAATGAAAGAGTAGCAGTTTTTATGTCAGAATTTAAAGTTATGGGTGGAGTGGTAAAATGATAATTTAAAGCATTAAGATCCACAGAACTTTGACAAGTTTCTGTGGTCTTGCCCACACCCAGTGACGATAGGAATCTCCAAACTTGCGCTTGACAGAGATCCTGAATCGTGGAATGAATATAGCGACGTTTGGCATCCCTACACATTCTGTTGCAGATGTTACGTAATTTTTTATAGGCGTCAAGGTTTTCAGTTGAAGGGTATTTTTTGTTCCTAGCCTTGGCCCTATCGCGCTTGGCCATGGTCCTCTTAAGCACAGGCGATAACCATGGAGCGGGAGCATGCTTCATCCTTACTGGCCTAACCGGCGCATGCTTGTCGTACAGTTTAATCAGTTCAGCAGTTAAAGAGTCTACCATGGTATCGATGTTGTTCGCTGATAATATCGCTGACCAGTTGATGTTTTTAACATCCTCTCTCAAGCGTTCTAGATCCATATGCTTAATATTGCGCTGAAGTATAACCTTGCCTCTAACCTTTGGAGGACGCACTTTGTAAGCGAGATAAATTATGTCGTGGTGTGAGAAAGGTGCAGTCATTTGACCATGCGAAACAGCAAGAGTAGGTTTAGAGACAGAGATTATATCTATGAGAGATGGACGACTGTTGGGAAAGTAATGAGTAGGGCTAGTCATGGGGAGTAAATGCATATTAAATGACGATGTAAGGTTGTGTAATGCTCGCGTCCGACAATCATTCTTTAATAGACATGTGTTCAGATCACCCATGAAAACAATATGTTCATAACTCGGTACCAGACTATCTAGAAGATCTTCTAAGTCGTCAAAGTAATTGACTTTGTCATTAGGACAGTACAAGACCCCTAAGAGAACTTTTTTGTGGTGTGTAGATAATTCTAAGAAAAGATATTCTAGATGACCAGTAGTAAGTGAGTTGGAACGAGCAACCACATGGGCAGGAATACCGCTACGAAGGTAAATACCTACGCCACCGCCACCTTGATCAGTGCGATCATTACGAAAAAGTTGATAACCTGGAAGCGAGCAACTAGTAGAAGGGAGTGATGGCTTCAACCAGGTTTCAGAGATAAGAATGCAGTCGACTACGGCAGCACCAAAGGATGTGAGAAAATCGGAGTAATGAGCGAGTATGCTTTGCGCATTGATATGCACCATGGTAAGGGAATTAGTATTAGTGGCAAAAATATTCGACAGTTTTACTTCGAGTGTTTCAACATCTGAAAAAGAGGTATTAATACTATTTTCCGCACTTTCGGAAGTGTCGGAAGAACAAGAGAAATATTCCTCATCCATATTAAAATAAAAAAAATATATGATATACGTAGAAAAAAAAATAATAATAAAATATATATAAATATAGATAAACAGTTATATAATAACTAAATAATGAACCAAAAAAAAAATAACACTATGCTCAGGCATAAGTTGACTACAAGAATAATTTTTACTGACATAACAGTTTTCATTAACAAATGTTGAACGCAACACAACAGAGTAACACTAAACAAAAATCAGTCTCTAAAATTCAATTCTAACGTATTGGGTTTGTCAAATCAAACAATAGAAGCCCAAACTCAAAGTATCTACTATTAGCCTTTGAAGAGGTCTACCTAACCACGTTCTGGTCTTACCATCAGATCAGCTCGACGATACCGAATCACTGCATTATCAACAACAATAGAAACACTTGCAAAGTTTCAAGTCAATATGACAATTAGAAGTAGGTTAAATATTCGTTACCTATTTTTACACCGTTAGGTGTGGTTCAAAAAATGAGATCGAACTGGAAGTGTACACTTTCAAACAAAACAAAAATCCATATCAGTTAATAAATGACGAAGTTCTTAGGCAACAAACATAAAAAAGAGAAAAAAAACATACAGCCGAGTTGAGAACCTCCTTTTTGAAGTCTTTGAATAATATAAGAGCCTCAAATTGTATATTTGACTATAAACAAACAGCCATTTTGCTTCATAAATAACTTAATACCTTGATTATAGACCTTTCACCTTTCAGATTCTAGCAAATCTATAAACTATTGCCTTTCAAGATTAAATATGTTTTGGGATATGGTCTCAATCGATCTAATCGTTTAGAAACTACACGATTACTAGCAGATGTTATATATCCACTTTAAATATTACTGAAGCTTTCAAAGCTTCCATAAACTAGAATTTATTGTCTCATAGAAAATATGTTACATATTGTATAAGTGTATAGAGCTTAAATCATATCTGACACGATTTTTTCTAAAGTGATCCAAAAAGAAAACAAATGTGAAAATCACTGGACCCTAATATAACAGAACAACTTGTTGATAAGCTTCATTGGTCACCAGGAACTCACGTTCCCTTACTCTCACTCGAAGCATTGACTATAAATATCTACATTTGCTTCACACTTCGATTCTTTTATATAATATTTCTTAACCTAATTAAATTGTAATTTATCATAAATAGAGTCAAATTAAACGGTACCCAAACCCGGAAAAGATCGATAGTCTTTCCTTTTTTTCATTTCACGAACTTATTTTTTTTTTATTATAGGATAGATGGAAGAACAAAGGCTATATATACTTAAATTATAAACACTTGTTTTACATATACGAGATTCGAACCCGCTACCTTTGATTAGCAATATACATAATAACAAAGATACTATTGATTTATTGATATTCATTTAAAGATCGTCAATCAATTTTAACCATTTGTTAAAACCAACGGTAGACCTAAATAAAGTGTTAAGTAAGGAACACTTAACCATACATAAAATCCTTTCTTATATTTAGGCAAATATTTGACATTTTAAATAAAACTATCTTTTCGGATTTTTTCACTGACTTATTTTGATTTTTGGTTCCGGATGTTTCGAATGCTTTACAGCAATCATGGTCACGGGAGAGACTGGTGTTAGTTGTCTCAAAGCCTTTGAAAACATACTTATGTATGTTTTCAAACCTTAACTTAACCTTTTATGTTTTGTACAGATTCCTAGTGAGCTTCTTTTAGAGAATGAGAAAAATAAAATTGATTGTGTAAATAAAAGTGATAACGAGAGTGCCACCATTTTTTTTTATTTCTTTTAAAATATGTGTTTTACGTACGATTTCATTTTAGACCACATAATGCTTTTGACAAAACTTTCTTTTCTATTAATATTTTAATTTGTCAATTTTTTTTCTTAAATTAACCTCCAAATCAGAATTTCATTCACTTATTTGAGCTATACCTACAGTCGTTGTTGGGTTGCTTACGTCCATATATAAAACCAATTTAATTTTTAAAATATAATCTACCCAATCTAATCTATGTGAGTAAAATCCAAAATAAATGGAAAAATTAGGTAAATATTGTGTTTAACATTCATTCAAGATTTTTTTGTTATCGTCTCTACCAACTACTTCAAAGAAAAAGAAGGAGGTTCTCAATTCGGTTGTATTTCTTTTTTTTATGTTTGTTATCTGAGAATGCTGTCATTTATTAAACGTTTTGGACAATTTTTGTTATACATATTTGAAAATTTATACTTCCAATTTGGTACCATTTAAATCAGGATAAAATACTACCCCTAAGAGTGGAAAAATATGTAAAGAAAATGTAACCTACTTCTGATTGTCATATACACTTGAAACTTTGCAAGTGTTTCTATTTCCGTTGATAGTGCAGTAATTCGGTATTACCGATCTGATCTGATGGTACGGTCAGGAGGTGAATACTTTGAATTTGGGCTTATTTTGTTTTATTTGACAAGCCAATAGTGTTACCAATAAATATAATTTTAGTTTGTTAGTCTTCATATAAAAATTGGCATAAAACTGACTTAAACGGCTTAAGCGAATATTTTATTAAAATATTCTTTTTTCTTTGCTACTTTTTTGATAACCAATTTTTTGATACCATTTTTTTGCTATCCGATACAAATTAAAGCACACCGACTTCGAAAATATCTGATTAGGTATCTAACGTAAATGAAAACTACCAATCAGTATTTTTTTACTTTTCAGCGTTTTTTTTTGAAGTCGGTTATTATTATTTTTTTAAATAAAAACTTCATATACAACGTACAAAAAATACGTTAATAAGTAACTTTATAATCTTTAGTTTAATTTTAATTAAACAAAATAGACCACCGCTATCGGCACAGTTATTTAAAATGAATTCATCTTTTTTAAGCTAAATAAAGATATTACTACTACTGTATTTGACTATTAAAATTATAATGATATTTCAAATTGTATAGTTACATAAAATTTGAGTGGAGAATTGTTGTACTTGATTAAAACTATTCTATATCCTTTCCAGGATCTCAAACTATCTCCATGCCAATTTTTATCTAAATCGGTCCAACTGTTTAATAGGTAACATACAAACAAACAAACAAACAAACAAACAAACAAACAAACAAACAAACAAAAAAACAAACAAGCAGAATTACTTTCGCATTTATAATATTAGTATGGATTTATGTTTTAAAAACAAATGTTTTTAAATTATTTATTACCAAGTTTTAAAATATGAACATCATATTATCTTCTATCTATACTAAGTTCGCTTATACTGCGATAATTACTGAATCGATCGTTATAATATTTATACCATAAGATGCACCGTGTTTCCGAGAAGATTTTAGTTTAGGTATGATATGTTGGTGATTAATGTACTATGCGCGCGGAGCCGCAGAAAAACGCTAGTATAATATATTGAGCAATCGTGTTGGTCTAGTGATAAACTTATTAGATACTAGCATTGCCCGCGGCTCCGCCCGCGTTCAGTTGACCAAAAACCAAATCCGTAGGTTTACATATTAGTATACTCTTACAGTGCAGTTTTTGTGTTTTTTCTCAGAAATGATATATTTTCCCGCGGTAAAAAGTATCCTATATGTTGACCCGGATATCCAACTATCATCATACCAAATTTCATTAAAATTTGTCCACTGGTTTTCTCGTGATGTGGTAACAGACAAACAGACAAAAATTCTAAAAACTATAGATTCGGACTCTGTATCGATAATAATGTCTATTTCAATAAGATTTTCCAAAAAATATTTAATGTACAGATTCGACTTAGTTACAATTTTATTATATGTATAGACGACAGCCGCTGATGACATCCTAGACTTGGATATTCAGGTCAAAATATAAAAGTTTCTTCTATCAAAAAGTTCTTGACAACGTACTGAATAACCATTCTTTTTGTAACGTCTTTTCGACGTTACGAACAGATACTTAAGAACTACTTAAAGTTTATCTATACTATAATAAAACAGTAGAGGTCGAATGTCTGTACATAGCAAAAAAATGCTAAAAACCGAGTCAGGGGAATGTAAGAAGACAAATAGAACAAATCCAGATTTTTTTCAATTTTTTTGTTTCTCTGTCTGTTTGTCTGTTTGTACGAGCTAATCTCCGAATCTATTGGACCGATTTAAATGAAATTTTGCATGGTTGTACTTTATATCCCCGGGCAACAAACAAAAATCTAACATTCTGATGCCTTGTATTGCCGGTCAAACAACAGTAACCTGTTTTCAGCAGAGAAAAATGAACGGTTCCCGTGGGAACTAATAGATCTCTATTAGTGTTTTTCTAGAGGCGAACCCGAGCGAAGCGAGGATGAGCCGCTAGTTCTTAATAAAATGTACCATTATCAGTAAAATCAGTTACGAACATTATTCTGTCTACATCTTCATATCGATCTCTAGGAAATATGACGTAAAGAAAGATTATTTTGTGGTTGTTATTAAGCTAAACATTAAAATTGGTTCAGAATTGACATATTTCACAATCACAAAAAATATAAAATACTCTCCAGATTATAAATTTCTTTTTTTATTCATTTTTTTACAGATTACAAATTCACTTACCTAGATACAAAACAAATGTACACTTAATATTTACTGTAAAAGTAATCTAAATTAATCTAACATTATAAATGTTAAGTTTGTATGTTTATATGTAGGAAGATAATCTCCGAACCTACTGAACTACTGATCTGATTCTGAAAATTCTTTCACTAATGCCGTTAGAGTACCACTAAGTGATAGGTTAATTTTATTCCGATATGACCTAGTAGAGTAACACATAGACTACTGTCAAGCACTTAGGGAGGCGCAAACGAAGTGAGGGTAAGTCGCTTGTATCAGTTAAGGAAACACAATTTATTAACTTTTGCAATTAGTATAGTTTTATCTCTTTTTGCCATATTATGTGTGTACTAAAATTTCTTATTTTTTTACATTTAAGTCTTTAAAATAAGATATTTAAATATATTTACTGTAGGCCACCACAATAGAAGAGTACGGGGTGTACACGATGCTTCCGGCGCAGCAACTCGCGCCGATCAGTCCGTGGCCGCCCGACGGCATGCTGGACCGCATGGATGACTTGGCGCACAAAGGTAAAGGTAATGGTGACCACCATTTATATATCATTGTGCTATAAGGACTATACATAAGGACCATAGGACTATAATATTAACAATATCTATCGCTGTCAAGGCTAAAAGGGAAACTAGACTAGATTTTAATTAAAAAAAACTTACATTAAAAACAAGTGTTTAAATGTATATTTATACATTATTGAGTATAGGAATATAATATTAACGTTATTAACTTAACAGTTCGATGAAATACAACTGTAACGAGAGGTATTTCAAATAATAAGGGGTGTACACTTTTGCAATAGACTTTTTTATTTTATATTATTTTATATATTCGGATTTTTTTGCGGTTTTGGGATCCCAACACTTCGAATGCTTTATACAAACCTGATCACGGGAGAAAATAGATAAAAATTCTTAAAAAAGTATTTTTCTTTAAAAGGCAAAATAATGGCGTAGAACTTAGAAAGTAAACTTTTTCTACCTCATTTATTAAAATAAAAAATTATAACCAATCTCTCTGTACTGTATCCTTATTATCTATACGAATATCAAAAATAACAGTGTGTTTATTTGTCTTTCTTTCGCGCAGTTACTAAGCATCAATCCATGATAGTTTATGAGCCGGAGAATAATATATACCTAATTTTTATCTAGTATATGAGATGGTTTGTAGAAAATTACGAATAAGTATCATTTATTTCCTATATGATATTTGACTAAATATCATAAATATCTATTTGATCAAATATCATCTATGGCTATCATACACAGGGTACCAGCGCAAAAGTGACCTAATCCAAAACAATGGAAATATTTTTTTTAATTTTGTATTTTAATATTTTGTTAAATTAAAGGCTATTATAAAATTTTGAAAACTATCTATTATATATTTAAAACAATATTTTTCTTCGTTTTCAGATTTTATTTCTCTGAGATTTGAGAAAAGAATTTCCTAGTCAATTTCAAATGTTTAAATTATGCCACTTTTGCGTGAACGCCTCGATTTATACTACACTTATTTAATTTAACACATTCACCACAAGCTACTTGTGTTGTAAAACCTTCCCTGTCACCTTTATAGTCTGTGATACGTATAAACGTGATTAATTGGAGTAAGCAGGCCTGTGGTGAACAGGGCACAGCGGTGTTAACCAGCTCGGCGGCGTGTTTGTAGGGGGCCGGCCGCTGCCCGACTCTACGAGGCAGAAGATTGTAGAGCTCGCACATTCTGGCGCCCGGCCTTGTGACATCAGCAGGATCCTGCAGGTCTCCAACGGCTGCGTGTCCAAGATACTTGGCAGGTAATGTCATTTGTACAATTTTTGGGGTTCTGATATTAACATATAAAAATCACCATAATCTGAAACCACGATGTCAAAGGATGAATTATATATAAATTATGGTGCATACACTAGGTATAGACATAAAGATATGAACCGTAATGGATAGCCAGTTAAAATTTTCACAGTATATGTTATTGCTGTGTTTGTTTAATTGATCATTTTAATATAGAATTTTCCGCTGTAATGGTCATTAAATCTATATTATATTATCGACAACAAAAAGTTTTGAATTTTACTTTAGATTTGTTATAGCTTTTATCTACTCTGGTAGAGTTCGACCATAAAAGTAGAAAATTAATTTATACAGCGATTTTTAATCTTCTAAACTTTCATATATTTTTTTAATTATGGTAATACCAATATATATACAAAATATACGTATTGGTAGGTATTTTTAAAGGAGAATATATGACAATGTATTATTACATACGAAAACATTAGTGAGATAAAGTCCAAAGAAAATCGACTTATCATATAAAGTACTTATGAAAATATAATGTGACTTAGATACTAGGTATTCCATATTCTTTTCTATACCGTGCCAACACATTGTCAGACGCGCCAATAATGTCAGAGTTATGCTAAAATTATTCTGGAAAAGAATAGCGAGGTTTGAGATCGTCATAAATATCTTTTTGTCTGCCAAAAAATAAATAGACGAATACTTGAAATAGAATAATCTATATACTTGATATTTTCATAAAGAATATTATTATAAAAACTCTGACGTCTCTAGGTACGTTTTATTTTTTTTGAGTGGAACACTAATTTGGTTTTTCTAAAATAAAAGTAGTCTAAGTTACTCCTTATAACATAAGCTATCTGCCAATGAAAGTCCCATTAAAATCGGTCTAGCCGTTTCGGAGATTAGCCAGAACAAACAGACAGACAGACAAAAATTTTGAAAGTTGTGTTTTTCTTATATAATTTCATACATATTTAGTAAAAAGCTGTTTTTTTGACATTACAAACAAACACTTCAATTTAATTTATCAGTATAGTTTATTAAATAAATTTATTTTTTAGCCAAACAAAAAAAACAGAATTATTTACTTCAGCAGGATATTAAATGTCGAGAAGATAGTAGCTTATTTCTTAAAAAGCTACATAGATCAGGCTGCAACCGCAATTGTCATAATACATACACAACCTCGGCATTAAGTTACACGAAACCATCCGAAAAATGCCGTTGAAACCAATACTGCATCTAACTGGCTGTGACCACAGCAATGTACTTGCAACCACACCTAGGCAACACTACCAAATTAAAAAGATACAACGCACAATAGAAGTAGCGAAGTAAATAGAGGCTTCATAAATTGGTTGGCACTCAAGGTGACTGTGAAGGTTGGTTATAATGTAATACGAGTATGACCATTTCACGTTCATGGAATGTCATTTTTTTTGGTTTGCGGTTTATTTGTTTGATAGAAATATCATTAGAATATTTTTGGACAGAAAATAGAAAGTTTCTAGAACATTATGTAACGACACCTAATAACTTATTATAGGTTAAAGGAAAGTCGAGACTAATATAGTATGACGTGTGAACTTAAGCGATTAGTGTTAGATAAAATTACTAACTTATTAGGTAAAAGTAGTGTAGAATGGCCGACAGCTGGGCAGCAAGGCGAATAAAAGTACAAGCCAGGTATCGAACCTGATATCCATGAAATTTGACACCGCAGTTCCCCACCGGTCTGATGGTGTCACCACTACACAGTGACAGTTTGTTGTGCAGTTTTATGGTCGAGCGTTTTATTTAACATATAATTTTACCTTTTAAATTTTCCAAAGTTCTCACAACGTAGATAATTAAAAAAATGCTATTTCTATATTTGTTTACTAATTGGTATTTATTTACAGAATTTGATTTTTTTAAAATACGATAAAATATAAGTTGGAGTCTCGTGATAGCGGCATCCATACATAATGAGAAATTAAAATTTTTGTTATATTTTTTAAATTATTGTGTAATTTGAAATAAAAAAATATATTTAAGTAATCCTCAAAACTTTACTGTAAAGATAAACCATTTACTCTATAGATGTATCAAATATCAAAAATTTCCATTGTAAACATTTTTAAAAAGTGAACTGTGACAGATAACCAGACCGACCATTCAGAGGCATGAGTGATCCTAAAAGGTTTCCATTTTTCAATAATTTCAATTTTTTATGTGTCATAATTTTTTTGATATAAATTAATATTATATAGGTACTACGAGACGGGGTCGATACGACCCCGGGCCATCGGTGGGTCGAAGCCTCGGGTGGCCACTGCAGAAGTCGTAAGCAAAATCGCACAATACAAGCGCGAGTGCCCGTCTATCTTCGCCTGGGAGATAAGAGATCGCCTTCTCAGTGAAGGTGTCTGTACATCTGATAATATTCCTAGTGTAAGTAGTTTTTTTTATTATTAATCTATATAATAAAATTGTAACTTAGTCGAATCTGTACATTAATATTTTTTAGAAAATCTAATTGAAATAGATATTATTATCGATACAGAGTCCGAATCTTTAGTTTTTAGAATTTTTGTCTGTCTGTTTGTCTGTTAACGCATCACGAGAAAACCACTGGACAGATTTAGATGAAATTTGGTATGGTGATAGCTGATTATCCGGGTCAACATATAGGATACTTTTTACCGCGGGAAAATATCTCATTTCTGAGAAAAATACAAAAACTGCATTGTAAGAGTATACTAATATATAAAACTTAAGAATTTGGTTTCTGGTCATCTCAACGCGGGCGGAGTCGCGGGCAATACTAGTTATAAATATTTTTATTTATAGATTAAATTAAAATAAAATATAAACAACATTTAATTAAACTAATATTTAAGTGTTTTAAATTATTTTTATTATAAAGTGTAATTATTAAGTTTACTGCAAAAACGATTTACTGTTGCTGTTAATGGTTTGTAGAATTCCATACCATAAAGATGGGTCCTAATATCAAGCCAGCATTGTCTATCTTCTTTCTAAATGTAGAGCCATGAGATATATCTTCACAGTCTAAAAGATGGGTTGTACTTTTTGTGTGTTTTGTATTGCATGAATTTGCATATCGTGAAAACAAGAACGTGAGCTAACTTATTCTAGCAAACGCCAATTTATTCCTTTTAAACAATTATATGTTAAAAAAATATCTATATTAATACAACAAGTTCTCAAATGAATAAAATAAACAACATCTAATCTTGAAACACGCACGTAGTAACTGTCTAATCTTTCCCCAAAATATGACCCGAATATTTAACGGCAACGCCTTTCTCGAGTACTAAAAACGAAAGGCATCAAAAAACACAATGGTATAACGCTAGCTATAGTTCGATTATATACAGCTATAACGCCTTATCTTCCCTAACACTATACAGGACTCCCCTTACCACCCCCACTGGCAAAACAATATGACGTTATGGCTTTTTTCTTCAACTTTCCTTTTTTTGAACGCGGTCCCGCTCCCTTCTGGGACATCCTTTAGCCGATACTCCGATATAAAGGATGGTTTGAACATATTTCAAATATCGATTTTATAATATTAATGTTTCTGTAGATTATTTAAATTATTTAGATTAAAAAGCTTTTTCTATACTCGAATCTTATCAAGCACAGCGATATATGCAAATCCTTTCTATGAAATCAATGTACTTAAGTATGAAAGGAAATATTTTGTAAACGGATTTTTGCACAGATATTTCTGCAAAACTATAGGAATTGGTTATTCTCGTTTACAATAAAATAATTATTGTAACTTATTATTATTATAAATATTTCTTTAATTTACATTATAAAATAAACAGCACTGAATACTGACCTCTTTTTGTTAAAAAAAAACTTTAATACTAAAAGTTATGGCCTTTTACTTATTTATTATACGTATCATCCTTAAAGATTGACTTGCTTTAATATTTTTATAGCTCATAGTATGAAGAACCTTAATCTTCGTAGCTCAACTCTTTAACGTAAAGCGTAACGGAGCGAAAAAACTCCTAAAAACGCTGTGAATACGAAAATAACATTGTGATAACATTCTATTTAACGAGCGGAGGATTCTTAAATATCCTTTACGACAAAAATTCGGGTGCTTAGCATAAACTAATTAACAAATTCGCGCCATCACCCTGTTGCTGACGACTTAGAAAAAAACTCTGCTTATATCAAACCTTTAAGATCGGGAAAAGTATAGGTATTACTAAAGAAAAGGGACCGAGATATTCATTTTTAATAGGAGCGAAAGAGTTGGCTATCTCTTTTTTCAACGTCTGAGAGGGAGAAATTTTGACGCGGCATGAATAAAGAAAATATGAAGGCTTTGTTGCCGTAAAAATTCCAGTACAGGGGATAAAGTCTTTAAGTTATCAAGGGGACCGTTAAGGGTGTTTTATCTAGACAGGTGGAGGAAACAAAAGATGTAGGTATTTTTGCCGACCATTTTTATATATTTGAGCAATTTTTGTAACCCTTAAAAAATAGTTAGGTGATTTTCTAATGTTTTATTGAAAAATTATATTAAAATCAAATTAAATTGTCTCCAAAGATAAATAATTCTTAAACATTACAATGTTTTTGTTATTAAAGCAGTTGAGGCATTATTTCATATAAAAGCTTGCAATCCTTTACAAACGTATTTAACATTTCCATTGCATTGTGTATATGGCATTGACGCACATACATATAGTAATAGACTCTTTAGCTTCATTATATAATCAATATACTCGTAGTATTTTAACAATTATGAAATATTAATGAACATGCACTATTCTAATTTTACTTTCGTATATTTATAACCTATCAAAGTCACTTCAATTCTCGTTTGACTGCAGCCTTTCTCTATACACAAGACGTCAAACAGACTTACCTGTACATAAAACATGAAGTAATGGAGTGTTTAGGTATACTTGAGGGTGCTTAGAAGCTGAATATATTAATATTATCATCGATCCCTCCATTCGTACGTGGGTTTACGTCGAATTTGGTTAACTTACACGAATATTGATGTTTATGTACATTGTCACAAGTATCTAATAATGAAATAAAAATTCTATACTTTTATATTTATGCTTCATTAAAGCTTACTTTTTTGATGAGCTTTTATATAGAAAAAAGCTCAATTTGATAGCAGTGTGAACTTTGTATATTTTTTAATTCATTAGATTACTTCTATAATGTCATCTATCGAGCTACTATTATAATTGCGAAGTTTGTATCCGTGTATGGAAATCGTACTTACCTATAGCCAGACATAGAGTAATACATAAGGACTATACTTTCACCAGAGTGAAGAGAGAATACATCGTTACTTATTTATAAAATTTCTTATTGAAGTAATATTTATTTTGGCCCGTTTGGAAAAAAATATGAGAGTAAAATTTTTACAATACGCGCGCACAACGACAGCCAAAAAGCGACATGATGAAGTTAGTTGAAAGTGACATGATGAAGTTAGCTGGATTCCTTTTACAAACAGAGAGTTGTGACATACGGGATGAAATGTTTAGCTATTTTTGTTCTATTACACCAAAGAAGTATAACTTCTTACGTGCGTTACATAAGTACACACACACGTTTTTTTTTATATAGACTTGTAATTTTAGTTAGAAAGTACTATACATTGGCTTGATAATGACATAGGCTTTTATTGGCTTAACATTAAGTTTATCCTACAATAACTCTGTATCTTTGATAATAGACTTGATAGAATATCTTTGATTCTGTTATGCACATTGTTATTTTACTTAAACAAGTCTGTATCAAAAAAATCTATATCGAATAAATCCAAATTAATAACACGTACAGCTTAACTGTAAACAAGATGACATAAGCTTTTACTGTCCTTATCTAAAAATCATACCCTACTTTAAAATCCCATAATGAAGTTCTATTTAATTTTTCGATTCCAAACTATACTTATTTTTAAGGAAAAATAAATCTAATACAATGAGATAGAGTTCAAATTTGAGTTTGTTTTTATAAAACTAGGGTTGTCACATGGCATTCTTTATATTCCCGTAGCAAATCACTTCCGAGCCACTAAATGCAGGCCAAATTAATGCGTTTAGCACGCTCCGGGCATGGGGATGACAACTTTATTTTATTATATCGCGATATTTCCTTGTCACTTTAACGTCAGTTTTTTCTATCGGTTGTAATTTATAAAGGCCGATCATAGTTTTGGAATAGATATCGTTTGCTATTTTATGAAGACTACTATTTTACTTTTACAGATTTTTAAATATAGAAAAATATTAAAAAAGAATATATGTGAAAACAGCGTAGATTTTTCTTGATCCTCTATTGATTGTCTACTTAAATCAATTAAAGTTAAACAAATTTTCATGAAGTAAAGTATCTTTAATCATACTTTTCTTATATTTAAAAGTAAACTGAATAAGCAATAAACATTCAAAAAGTTCACAAAATACAAGTTCATAAAAATCTTATTTCAAACACATGAAATGCATGTTTGTAGCACCAAGCTAACCTATACTAGCGTCCAAAATATGATCCCCATAACTGTAATCCCTGTATTATTGGCAATGATCGGTCCAATGAATATCGTCCGAGCACTGATTTAAAATATCATTAGAGCGTATCTGAGATCTCACGGGCCTATCGCTACAAATTGTAACAAAGGCCTTAGAAAAGGAGATTATCGAAAGTGGCACGTGTCTCGCACGCGTCTGCCTTGCGTCCCATGTATGGACGCAACCCTACAAAATCAAACTAAAAACAGAAATAAACTCAACCACATGGTAATAAGATTGATTTTTCATTGACTCTTTTATCTCAGTTTTGGTCAGCAATGGAATACGTGTAATATGTTTTAAGCTAATGGTTTAAAGTTGAATTTGAGTTGCTAGTATTGTTTTACAAAGTTAGTTAAAAGTAAGAAGTGTCGGAGGGAAATTAATACCACAATCGTAGGATTTAGAGCTTATAGTAGAGTTGAGAGCATAATAACATGAACAAATAAATATGTATTGCTACAGTTGTCTTGTCATGTTTGTTTGTTGGGATGTCACACGCAAGTATCACCTAAGGGTGAAAGGGGGACAATGCTTTTTCTGTCACTTATAGATGAGATAGTTACTATTTTTCTTATTTACTGTTTTTTCTCACCTACACGACTTCATTTTGGAGGTAAATGAAACAAATATATACATATATCATCAAGTTCAAAACAAAAATAATATATATAAAATAATAAAGGCGATGGCGATGATATTTGCGAACACCCCAAGGACGACGTAACGATGCTAAAAGAAATAAAAATAATTTTATTCGCAAAAATTCTTATTTTCTTTAGAAAGAAAGATATAGATACTTAAGTAAGTTTTTTTAACGTTAGTATAGAAACAGATTCACTAAGCTTAGCTATTAATACTTACTTA